GTGTTTCAGTGCCGGTATCTGAAACCGAGACCGACAGCTGTGATTACGTTTAACTTATTCATTCTTTCAGTTATTATTAGTGTCGACATGTCAGCGTCGGTGTCGTTTCTGGGTCCCGTGCTCCATAGCTCCTAACAAAGGCAATTCTATTTCCATAACCAGGATTCGAATTTTGGATATTTGCCTTTTTTTTTATTCTCTAAAGTAGATAGTCTTCTAATGTATCTTGATTTTTGAGATTGTTTATGTTGGCTTAATGACGATGATGATGATTTTGGTGAAGCTAGTGTTGTTTTATTTGTAATCTTAGGCTTCTTATTTTCTTAATTTGTTTCCGTACTTGTGTTTTTCGATTTGGCTTAAGTAATAAAGGGACATTGGCTGACAATGTGAAATAAACTACATATTGACATAATAATAATAGTTGACAATAGGTTCTTAATCTTATTAAGTAACTGTGACAAAGGCCTTTCTGAATTCCTGTTAAATCTCTCTCTTGTTATGAACTTGTGAACCTTTGAAGGAATTTAAATCATTGGATGGTGGCCTCTTAGATTATTTTTGGATGGCGATGCTTCTATTAGTGGGTTATAGAGTTTATAAATCTTATTATGGAAATTGTTTGAACTAGTAGATTTAAGTTACACTGCTGTCTTTTCTTGTATAATATCTCATCTGTTGTTGTAAATGATGATCAATCAGGAAATAGCTAGACAGTTATGCATGGAACATCAATTGCTATTCTCAAAAGCGGTAACATGACTTACTTATGTACAATTCGTACTATACACTTGCAGCTATGGTACAATGATTTGTTGATTTTGAAATGAACCTTTTGTAGGCATCATTTGATGACAACTCCCAGTTTATGGTAGCCGTGCTAAAGTGAGCGAAGTTTTCTTTGTTAAAAAAGGAAGATATTTTGAATTTCCAAAGCACTTATTATCTTTGTTTTGTAGGGAGTGCGGATTAGCACATAAATCTGTAATTTTTATTTTGGATGAGTTTGACCTCTTTGCTCAGGTAAGGCTCTATTTTCTATTCCCGTTTGACTGTTACTAAAAGCTTAATGTAAAATTCTCATTATGATCGTAGTTAATCGTTATGATCAACTTCTTACTATATTAATTAATTTCAGTGTGAAATGTTCACTATTATACTCTTGGGTCTGACTTCATTGACCATACATTTACTTCTATCTGCTTTTTAATTTTCTGCAGGGTAAACAGCGGTTACTTTATAGCTTGCTAGATGCAATGCAGTCGGTATCATCACAGGCTGTAGTAATAGGCATTAGTTGCCGCTTGGTATGTGCTTTACATTTATTTCCTTTTTCCCAGTAGCTATGAATGTCATCAAATCTGAATGCCAATACATGGTTAAAAAATAAAAAGATTTCTTTAATTTGATATTGTTTTGTGATTTACAAAGTATAACTATTGGTTGGGAGTTTTCCAAAATTTGTTTCGCTCATATATTTTGAGAATCTGTCATTGCATAAGGTGCTTAGAAATATTGAGATAACGTTTACAAATTAAGACAATTGACCGTGCAGGATGCAGATCAGCTATTGGAGAAAAGAGTACGATCTCGTTTTTCACACAGAAAGCTGCTGTTCTTACCACCTTCAATAGAAGATTCACAACGGTAGATAAACTGTAACTGCCTTTGAAATGTACTATGCTGAATATGATGTCAAACACTGCTGTTTTGACTTATTATGCAGATTATTGGCGCATATGCTGACACTGCCAATAGATTCAAGCCTTCCATCTGATTATGCTGTTCAATTTAATAAAAAAGTTAATGTATCCTTTTTATTCCAAAGGTTTTTTTATGTTGAATCTAGTTGGTTAGAGGGCCTTCAAAATGAACAGAAGGGCCATCCATTATAATTTATTCATTTTGCAAAGCACTTGGTTTGAAGTTTGTATGCCTGTTATATTCTACAATTGTGAAAACTTAATAATTTGTTTCTAACCCATATTGCATACGTTTTTGCATTTTGGTCCGAAGTTCATATATACTATTATTGCAATCCTTTTCAGTTCTTCCCATTCATTGTATTTGTGTTTCAATGAATAATTGGTTCGTCTACAACATTTATTTCAGGTACCTAAACATTATCATTTGTTTAGGGAAATTTACGCCTTTGTATTTTTTTATTATTGAAAATTCACACTTCCATACCTGGACAAGAAATCCTTTACAAATTACAGAATATTATAGAAGACAAAAAGTTCAAAGAAATCTTCACTAACTATTTGAATTTTGACTCCTCTGTCAAACATTTGTTGAGGTTCCTGTAAGTATTTTGTTCACACCTCTATTAGCTTTTCAATATCAAATAGACTATCCTCCCAGACATAAGTGAGTGAGTTTGTTGATTTTCCAGGTTCTATGCAGTCTCTCATATGGATTTGCAGACTGGGTTTCTGTCCAGGGAAAACTTTGAAACTGCGTATTCAAGCATCCAGAGACAGCCCAAACTAGAATGTTTAAAAAGTATGACATTTTTTTTATAGTTTCTTGTGTGACATGCTCCCGCCTTTTTCCATTTCGAATTCCAACTGCATAAATGGAGCTTCTCTCCATTGTATTCATGTATTTTTTCTTCTTTGATGACACCAAGACTTGAGTTAAAAAGATCTTAACCTTGAGAAACTCTTACGATGTTACATGATAGGAAGAGAAGAATGCACGAGCATATTTAAAATTGGTAGCGTATTTATTTTGTTATAGGACTTTATGTCCAGGCTAAAGACCTAACATGCGAATCTTGTAATTTTAACACATGAATCTTCCATCTAATCCTTGTGTTAAGGGAGAGAAAACTTTTGTAGCATATGAGATGATAGTCTTGGATAAAAATTACTTAATGGGTTCCTAAACTCTGATGACGGCTTATTAACTGCGACACGAAGGATTAGTTGCATTTCAGTCTGCAAAACATTACCGTATTCTTTAGTTGAAAAAAGCCTAAAAGAAAAAAAAAATAGGCAATTGCATTTTCAAATCTCTCCGTTTTATCTTCATGAGGAAACTAATGAATTTTTTGGTTTATCTTCATTGCAAACAGATTGTTCCATTTTAGAACTATATATTTTGGTATGCATGAAGAGATTGGAAGTTAAAGAGAAAAGTTTATGTAACTTCAATGCAGTAATGAAAGGTGATACTTGCTGTTTTCTCTTTCATAATCTTATATCTTTATTCCTTAACGCGTCTGCCATATCTTGCAGAGTATAAAAGCGTACACGACTCTTTCCAGACTTCTGATTACTATGCCCGAAACGTCTGTTTAAGGGTGTGTGCACTTGGTTTGATGATTCATCAAAAGCGAAACATCTTTACATGAGTAAATGATTGCTATGTTATGTTTCCTATGATCATCTGACACCAACCCAAGCTTATTTGATGGTATCTTTATTATGTGTGCAGGCATTTGAACACCTTATACACCGTGAACTAATATGTTTCACAGACAATAGAGGACATAGTTTATCTGTTGAATTTCGTCCTGTAAAGCTCATAATTTCATCCGCTGAACTGCATCAAGGACTAAAGGCTTATCATTCTTGCCCTGTAAGTTAACTGACAAAACAAGTCGTCCACCTGTATTTTATTTTTATGCTACATTAAGAAATATGAATCGCATCAGTATTTGATTGTGTTTGGGGTTATTATTTTTTCTTACTATATTTTAAACTTCTTTCTATCATTGTTATATGCCACGTGTGCGAAGGTTAATTTGTATATTTTGGCAGGCTATCCTTCAAAAGTTGGTAGAACGTGACTGCTAAAGACCACAACATTTTGCTCCTCATATTGGTCATATATGTGGTATGATTCAAAATTTTGAAAAGACCGGCTTGTTATGAAGACATATTTATTTTGTTTAGTCAATAGTTTTTCTTGATTATAATCGATGTACATGGAAATGAAATTTGTGCTCATTTCCTTTGAACAAAATTCTGTATGTTTAATCTCTATGTATTGGCAAGTTATGCCATCAAAGTATTCACTCAGCAAGCTACCTTTAAACAGTTTTCACCTGCACACCCATGAAGTGGATATTAACCTTTTTTTTCTTCTAAAAAATTGCAAACCAATTCAATCCAAAACCGTAAAAAAATTGATTGCATTGGATGAGAATTTACTTAAATCCGAATTGACTGTACAACCAAAGAACAAAGTCAAATAAAATAGTATATTAGATCAAAATTGGAATGATCTAAACCAATTCAATCTTCAAAATCATCCCCACTTCAAAATAATATTATGTACTTTGAAGGGGAATACAATCTTCTTTCATATTTCTTTCAATCCCTAGTTAACGGTATAATCTATGATCTTTATTAAATATTACAAAGTTTTTACTTTGACTGTTGGATATATATTTTAACATACAATCTTTTTCCCAATTATTGGAATCTTGAGGTGTGGAGTGAAAGTTAAATTTTTTCCCTACCACAAATTAACATAAACTACAAATTTCTTAGCAACTAAACCAAATTCAGTTATACATCTATATTAAATATAACTAAGCACTGTGCACTATGAAGATGACTAAATTATTATTAATATAGAAGAAGACAAAGTTTATGATCTTGTCAAAAAAATGGTTTATGATGTCAAGTTATCAGAGTATCCAATTTTGAAAGAGAATTCATATGTTTTGTCTATATTTCACTAACTCACAAGTTTTCCTGACACAAACTAAACAGTTGCTTTTGTCTCACTTTATCTCATCGATCAGTTCAAGGTTATGTATTTGATTTCCTCTCAATTCACACAGCAACATCCACAAGCATCAAAAACCATGCAATTCCTCTTTGATTTGTCAGCTAAAAAATAATCAATTTTTTGTCTCTCATTCTTTTAAGTTCTTTCTTTGTTCAATCCGTCCAAACTCTTAAACTATAAATAACAACTTCCATTTTCAATCTCTCTCCCCTTCCATATCCTTTGGAGACTGAGTTAAAAACTTAACAAAAAAAATGGCTGCTGTTACTAGTTTTACATATTCAGCTTCTCCCTTTCTTGTAAGGTGCTGTTCTATGAAAGAAAATCACCATGAACAATTGAATGGTAACAGCAGCATAAGAATGAATGGGAGTTTTAGATCTCCGATAAAAGTTGAATCACTTAGTCAAACAGCTGAAGCTGCACCAACAACTCTTGTTGAAAACGGTCAACGACAAAACATTCCGACAAAGAAGCAGTTGGTTGATTCACATCGTCAAGGTCTTATTGTTGGTGTTGGTTATCGACAAACCGTCGTCATTAGGTCATATGAAGTCGGTCCTGATAAAACCGCAACACTTGAAAGCATCCTCAATCTTCTTCAGGCAATTCAATCTCTGCATTACACTATTTCTATTGTTTTTCTAAGATTAATGATACCGACACTTCAGATTGAAGACATGTCTGGTATTTGAGATACTTGTATCTGACACTGACATATGTAATTACATTCAATTAACATTATCTTTAATTTTATGCAGGAAACTGCATTGAACCATGTATGGATGTCTGGGCTACTTAGCGATGGGTTTGGAGCAACACATGGAATGATGAAGAATGATCTCATTTGGGTTGTTTCAAGAATGCAAGTTCTCATTGATTATTATCCCATTTGGTAATTAAAAGCTCATTTTTTAATAACTACTATTAATCTATTACTATACAAAGACAAGACACAAATTAATGTAATCCAATTTGATAACTTTCATGCCATACTTGACAAAAATGTACTATTTCTTGGAGGTTTTCCTAGGAGTTTTCTCCATAGTAATTGAGATTTCTTGTCCTATACTCTTTTGGTGGCAGACAACTTTCTCTTTTAATTTAAATATACATATGTGTTGTTGTCAAAGATATGCATTGCATAGAGTTTCACTACAATACTCCATATTTTAATCTATCATGGGCCATAACAAAACCATAATAACAAATAGAATATACACTTAACATGTGACAGGGGAGAGGTACTTGAAATTGAGACATGGGTTGGAGCATCGGGCAAGAACGGAATGCGACGCGACTGGCTCATAAGAAGTCAAGCCACGGGCCAAATTTTCGCTCGCGCAACAAGGTATGCTATAAATATATCAAGGCCGTTGTTGAGGGCATGCATGGCGGGCTACCGCGTAAGGCCAAAAATTTGACACAGTTGAACCGTGGCTAAATAGAATCTCGTAAAATGTTTGCCACGGTTAAACTGTGATTAAATAGGATCTCTATTTGTTTTGTCATTCATGATTAAACTATGATTAATCTATAAAAAACCTCCAAAAACTTGAGACGACTCACTATATACATGTCTAGCAAAAATTTTCTAACATTTTTGAAGACCTATATCATACATGTTCTAATCGAGATTAGCACTTAACTAAAACAGCACATGGGTGATGATGAATCGTAAAACAAGACGCCTCTCGAAAATGCCAGAAGAGGTGAGGGGCGAACTCGCACCATGGTTTATATCAAACCAAGCAATAAAAGAAGACACTCCCGAAAAAATCGTCAAATTGGACAAAGAGGCAAAGTACACGAACACCAATTTAAAGGTATGACATAGTTTTAATTGCGCTCGTGTCACAATGTCGCGCTCGTGTCACAATCCTTAATGTCACGCTCGTGTACAAATAATGATTTTGTTTCACTGTCCACTTTGCAGCCTAAGAGAAGTGACTTAGACATGAACCAACATGTTAATAATGTGAAGTATCTAAGATGGATGCTAGAGGTAACTTCAAAAAAATGAACCTACTCATAATTATTAAAGTTTCATATAATTAACTTTTTTTTTAATTCTTGATTATTTTACAGACCATGCCAGATCAAATTCTAGAGAGTCACCAATTATCTGGAATCATATTAGAATATAGAAGGGAATGTGGAAGTTCAGATATAGTTGAATCACTATGTGAGCCTGAAGAAGATGAAATAGTACTCAATGGCATGGTTGAACCAGATTATTGCACAAATTTGATTAATGGATTATCATTGGCATCATCAGATATTATAAATGGTGGTGGAGTTTTGAGCTACCTTGAGCATAGGCCAATAAAGTATACTCATCTTTTACAAGCTAAGGGAGAAAAACAAAATGAAGAAATTGTTAGAGGAAAAACTACATGGAAGAGAAAATTCACTACATGTCCATTTTCTACATAGTAATGTATGTTGAAGAAGTTTTTGGGAACTGGTGACTTGGAAAGAACAAACATTACTATGTAGAAAATGGACATGTAGTGGTGACTTGGAAAGAACAAACTTCAATTTGTACTTTGGTGTGTTTGAACTAAGAACATTAGGAGAAAAAATATATATAAAGTGACATGACCAATGAAATTTAAAATGTTATGAGTATGTTGTTTATGTAGTTCATGAAACTTTTGTAAAATATGAAATTACTATTTAGTTATAATGAATTATAGTTATATTTTCACCTAAATAAAGTTATATGGTAAACAAATACAATATCTCCATTTCTATTTATTAAACTTGAGGTTTTGTTAAAAGGTGTTACTCAATAGGCTTTCCAACATCTAGAGAAGTTAGTTAACTACAATTAATTTTTTAGATTTCATGTGCAATCATTTTTTTTTAAAACTTTAATAGGAAAGAGATTTCTAAAATATTATTTGGAAGTTTAGAGATAATAAATATTGATTACATGACGTTCTATCATTTAAATGAGGCGATCCGGTGGTAAATGACATTTTTATTGGTAAATTGTTGTTTCCATTCTTATATTTTTTCTCCTATCACCGTGAAATTTTACTAATGTTTTTAGCGTTTGGAGATGCATCTTCGAACACATTTATTTTTAATTTTTTATAGATAAAATTGATGGGGCACTTATATTATGCTAAAATTTAATTCGAAGATGCATCTCTGTATGCACTAAAGATACGTTTGAAGATGCATCTCCGTACACATCATTTATTCAAAAGTTAGTGGTGAAGGGTCGAGAAACACAAGAAAGGGGGGTTTGAATTAGATTTCACCAAATTTGATTTTCTTTTACAACTTTAAACATCATAGTTAACAAAAATAAAGATAAATAGAACACCATTATTTTTATCCTGGTTCACTGTTAACAAAGTTACTCCAGTCCACCTGCAAAGGTAATTTCGCCTTCAAAAAGAACTTAATTAAATATTTTTAAAAGATTACACAAGTTACAACAACTCTAACCGACCTTGTTTCAAAACACAACTTATACTAACCGTTCTTGTTGCAAAACACAATGTATAATCTCCATTGTTTTCTTGAGAATTCTGACTATACCCTAGTCTCTCAAGAAACATTCAACCATTATTGATTACAAATATGTATATGAGAAGATGTTTCTAGATAAGCAGATTACACAAGTTTAAGTACAGTAACACAAAAGTGTTTATAGCAAGATATGAACGAAAGTTCTTTGTTAATATACAAAACTATCTTAAAAATAATCTCAATGAGATTTGTGCAGTGTTTGTCCATAAGTTTTGTTGAGCATTCAACTTAGCTTCTGCTCGATTTAGCTTAGCTTTGCCTTGCTTGGCTTTTCTTCTCTTTGACTCTTCTTGGCCTTTTTCTCTTGATTTTCTCACATTTGGCTCACTCTTCTCCTCTCTGGGCCTTCTAGATCGCCTTTCTCTTGATTATATATCCACACTTCAATTGCTTCTTATAGCTTAAGGAATAGATACGTTGAAGGGTATAATAGGAAACAAATTCCAACTGTAGTTTCCCAACGGTCACTTGAAGGAATGATCAATATCATAATGAAAAAAAGTTGTCCTTGCGCCACCTTTTCTAGGTAGAGGTCACATAGTACTTTTGTACTTTTATATTCATCAAATCATGCAAACCATTTATGATCTTCTTTCTTCTAGTTCTTTAGATGCTTCAGATGTATATTTGATGAAGCATGTGGTAGAAGAATCAATACTTGTAACTTCGGAAACCAAAGTCTTTAGAGTCTCCAGAACTCGTTCAGCAGAACCTTGTCTTAGGAGTCTTCAGCACTTGGTCTTTAGAAGTGATGTCTTAAGAATCTCCAAAACTCGTTAAGTAGAGCCTTGTCTTCAGAAACTTCAGAACTTAGAGCAGTAGAAATGATATCTTCAGAATCTTCAGAACTCGTTCAGCAGAACCTTGTCTTCAGAAACTTCAGAACTTGGATCAATTGAAGTACATCTATATAGAGCCTTTCAAGTTTTACACACTAAGTCATGATCAAAAACTTTAGTACGACGTTCTTTAGAACCATTGTATTAAAGGCATTCCTAAATCATAACATGTAACCAACAGACGTATTCTTCTAGAGTGATGAGTTCAGAGTCTGATGGCGTCACAAGTCTTTCCTTCATAATCTGTTTAGCAAAAGCTACACACTAAAAAGAAATCATTAGAGTACATAATTGTTCTCTAAAATATCATGCACATTTATCATCAAAACTTCAAGATCAGATACATAACAAATCTTACAATCTCTCCCTTTTTGATGATGACAAACAATGTATTTTGATAGAATAATTTATACAGGTAATAACCATAAAACACAGAATCAGAGTTAAGCAAACCAACTCCCCCTAAATCTGTTACTCTCAAATTTATATATGCTTGTTCAAGGTTTCCCTCTGATTTCAAGACTCACAAAATAATTTTGAAGTAAAAAGCATAAGAACAGAGAATGAATACTTCTCAATGACGTCCCATCAGAGTCTGATTAGAACTGCCTGCTCTTTATCTCAGAACCTGGATTGCAACCAAAACACGATGACATATCAGAACCTGATTAGTAACTTGCTTGATGAACCACATCATGTATCAGAACTTAGTTCTTTCAATATCTTGGATATATCACTAAAAGGTGCAGAAATCAACATGTCATCAGAAGGTTGAAAACTTGAACAATTCCTGGATGACCATGTCTAGACCGAATCTTCAGAAGGTCCTCAACTTCTAAACGATGTGCGTTATAAAGCAAATTTGTCAATCTTTCAGAAAGTTCTCAACTTCTGAGAAACTCGAGGTATCAGAGCACATGTTGACATCTTATTAGATAGTGCTTAGCTTCTAAAGAATGCATTGAGTTAAAGCAGGCTCATCAGAGCAAACTTTATGCATTCTAGTCATGTTTTCTTTTTGTCAAAAGTAAAACTTCTTTCACAATAACCTGTCTAGAAACTTAGTTAACTTTCACAAGTTTCTGAAATAAACATCAAGCATGGTTAGTAGTAAAAGCATTAGAACGTATTTGGGTTATAAGATTCTGAGACTAAGTATAATAAAATTATGTATCACTTTCTCCCCCTTTGTCATAAATCAAAAATGAATAAATAGAGAAATAATAACCAAAAGATAACAAAATAAAGAAACGGAAACTTCATTCAAATTCAAGCAAAAAATACAAAAGAAAAAAACATAAAAGAAAAACTAGGGTAATCCTAAAGTGCCTAAGGTAGGGAAGAATGAGGGGTTCTTTGAGTGAGCTGAGTAAGCATGTCCTAAATGTTCTTGTTGAATTCATCTTGCTTGTCAAGTCTAGTTCTGAGTAACTTCTGTTCCTTCTGAATGTCTTCTAAGATGTTCATCAAACGAGAAAGAGGATCAGCTTCAGAACATCGAGATCGATCAGAGATATCTGTACGACCCAAGGAGGTTTCTGCAGTTTCTAACATGGTTGTTGTTTTTCTAACAGCTTCTCCTTTCTTTTCTTTAGACAACACGGACATTACAACCTCTCTCTTTCTCTTTCTGCTTAAAGTTGTTTCCTGATTTTGTTCTTCTGGTATCTTAATCATATTAGTAATTAAAGACATGTCTAGCAGATATTCACCATTGAAGAATTTTCCAAACATAGTTTATGGTGCAACTCGAGGATTCAAAAACTCCATAATCTTGCAGTCAATCATGATTGCAGAGATTAATCTTCCATAGGGAATCTAGGTTCTTTGATTCTTAGATATTTTCTTAGAAAAATTGATAGGGAAATAAAGATAGTAGAAGAGACAAGCAAGCAAGTTAATTCTATCGCCTTTGGCCAAATGATACAACATGTACTTGGAGTCTATCCAAAACCTTGGAAGAATTTGTCATGGCCCTGTGAAAAATGCTTCCAAAGATAATTCTGAACCACACCCTTAGGTTTTCAAAGATATTTATTGTCGAGTTTGAGTCCTCTCCATTTTAGAATATAGTAGGAGTGATCATTTTGATAATCTCTGAATAGTTCATCGTTGATTTAAGCAATACAACAACCTTTCTGTTGTAACACCGAATACCAGAATTGTTATGAAGAATCAGTCTAGCAATGTCGGGTTCGCTTATGCAAACATTACGTCCCTTGATTTTTGAGCATATCATGCAATCATCCAAGACATATGCATTTACCCAAAAATCCTTGACTAGCTCTGGGTAAGTTGGCCCTTTTAGAAGGTTGAAGTAGCTATTCCAACCTTGAGTTTCCAGCATCTCCGAGAAATCAAAACCATTAGCAGCCAGATTATTGAAATATACTATTATTTCTGATAGAACAATCAAGTGTTCTATTGGAATGGCTAAAGTGATTTGAGGTGCATCATTGTTTTGAATATTTCCCAGTTATTGTTGTTGTAGAGCCATACATTGATCATAATACATTTAGTTGGCCATTTGACTAAGATGGAAAGGAACACACACAGACACAGACACAGACACACACACATACACAACACAGAGGATTTTTAGGGTTTAGAGAGCAAAAGGATTTGAAAGATTAAAAGTGTGGGAAAGTTGTAGTGTAAGTGTGTGATGTGAAATGAGTGAGTATAAATAAGAGATTTTCAATGATTATAATAACTAGAGAAGAACAAATGATTCGACAAAGAGAAGGTTGAAAATATTTATCACATAATCCCAAGAAAATCTTGTCTCCCAATGTGTCACATCAAGTACTAAGCATGGTTCATCAAAAGATAATTGTCTTATAATGAATCACAAACTCTTCACTTTCTTGACAACGTGTTAATGAAGTAAACTCTTCAGTTTCTAACAGACAAAAAGCAATCTAAAGAGAGCATTCTGACCTTGGATACTTCAGATACATGAGAACTTTACTTCTCAGAAGCCTTACATCTCAGAAGCAAGACACTACGAATCAAACATTAGAAACTTATTTCTTTATTCTAGAAGACATA